GAATCGGCTGCTTCTGCTGCTCGTCTGACTCCCGCCGCTCTGATTGCCGCTGCTCAAGATGCTGCTGCGCCTCAGGGTTTTGTGCCTCAATCTTGTTGTGAGACTGCTCAACAGGCTGCGCTGCCTGCCAGTGATCCATCCCCACCACAGCAGCAGCACTCAGCAAAGTCATCCTGCCGCCTCGCAGCCCAGGCTCGTTACCAACCTCCGCGCCCGCATGGATTGGTGCCGCTGCAGGCGTAGCACCGGACGCATTGGGTGCCGCAGCTGCTGCATCCGCACGTGCAGCAGTGCTGTCCTCTACTGGCGCAGCCGCTGCTGTCATCGCCGGTGCTATTGCCGCATCCAAATGGACGTCGGGGTCATCCTCCCTGGTCGCTCCAGCGCACGCAGGAGCGTTCAGGTTTGCCGCTGGGGCTGCAGAGCAGGTTCCAGGTGCAGGTGCAGCTGCCGGCGCGGCGGCGGGGCTGGATGTGGACGCGCTTGATGGCGCCAGTGTCGGGGCGGGGACCCCGGCTGCTGCCATCATTTGGAGCACAATCTCTTCAGCCTGCCGCAGCTCCTCCGGCGTTGGCCCCAGCGGAAGCGGCGGCAGCGGCTGACGGCGCTCCGCCGCCTGCTGCCGCGGCTGCGCCCCGTGAGCCGTCGCGCCCTCACGCTTGGTACTCGGCTGCGCGGCGGGCGAGGGCTGCGCCGCTGCTGCCGGGCCGGCCTGCAGCTGGGGCCGCGCTGCTGCCTTGCCGCAGGCTGCAGCCATCATGCCCTACATGATAAAGAAAGGGATAGAGCGGTTGTTCAGGCTCATGACCGCCAAAGCAACTGGCGTCCCTCGCAGGGTGGGCCCCGCCCACCTCGTCGCCTGTGCATGCCAAACACTCCGGCAGCAGCGGTGGCGGTGGAGCCAACGGGAGGGCTTGCGGGGGCAGGGGCCCCATGTTTCACGCCCACGCACGACACACCTCGCCACTGCGCCCGTTGCTGCCGTGCAGCTCGTCCTCCACTTGATTCTCCTTCTGCGCCGGCATCATCTGGTGTCACCCGCGGGGCAGGCCGAGGGCGTGCGACGGTGTGTGTGATGAAGGGCCGACAAGCGTGGGGAGGGAGAGCTGCGCAGACGGCTTGCGCTTTGCTCGGGGCGCTGTCATTGCTTCAGAAGGTGCTAGAGGAACATTTTCATTGCTGGCGATCACAAACACGCCTCTATGGTGCACATGCGGCCTGGAAAACTGGAGCGTAAGCTGCACCCAGGCGACACCGCCGCCATCAAGCGGCTTGCCCTGCTGCAGCATGCATGGCCTCTCCCAGCGACAGGCCCCTGGTATCCGCTGTGTACGCTCGTAAATAAGCCATTTCAATTCATACGCGCTGCTTGTCAAGCTTCTCGCTGCGCAAGCGAGATCGTCCATTTCTGACACTGCAGACTCACCCGCTCGTAGACTCCGCGCTCATAGACATGATATTGCAGCTGCGCATGGGCGCCCCGCTCTAAGCCCTTGTTCGGCTGCATTGCTGGCCCTTCTCCCGCTCAGCCGGTGAGCTCCTTCGCTTCGCCGGCCAATAGCTTTCTTGAGGCACGAGGCAACATGCCACCGTTTGACCTACGGCGATAGCCCGTGGCAGACCGCGGTTTGTTGATAACTACTTCACGGTCCGGGAGCGTGCTGGAAACAAGAAATAGAGCGTATCGCTTCACCCACGACACGACATCATGTAGAACGAAGCCTGACGTCGATAGCCAGCACGAAGGACCATGCTCTTGAGACAGCAGGCGCGGTTGTCGGCGGGTCACTGCGGTGACTGTGACTCTGTGAGACTGCGTAGGTGCCTGTCTGTATCGGTGGGCCCCACCGCCCTTCATATTCTGATTGTCATGTTTCATGAAACCAAAGGCTGGATGCAGCCCAGCCAGGCTTGGAGTCATGTGCAGTCAGTCAAACCAAAACCAGCTATTTCAAACCGGGTCAATACACTCCAAAAGTGCGGTGACACCAGTAGTTGTAAACGTTGCACTTGTGTAAGCAGCGTAGACTGTTGCCTCTGGATTCGTTCAGTTTCGGGTGATTCGGCACAATCGCGTCATAAACACAGCTTACCCATGAGCCAGGCTTCGATGGTACACAGCACCAGCAACAGCCAGCGCTGCTGACAGACACAGCTGCTGCTGCAGGCTCATGAAACTTGTGCAGATACCTGAAATAATGTTGAAGACAGCACTCACAGCACAGCACCTCTATCGCTCGAATTCTACGTCGCAGGTTACAAATGTTGCGGCCTGCGCAGCTCGCGTATATGTTATCAGTGACATGCGTGTCACCTGCGCGTGCCTACATACCCATGATTGCCCCATGAGTCCTCACAGTATCGCTTTGCTGATGTCGTGGCCAGCACCACGCGTTTGCATCCCCTGGCGCGCACCCCCTGTTAGCTGCAGGGCACGTTGTTTTGTGTCGCATTTGCAATGGCGAAGCGCTGTGGGATGCAAGAATCAGCTACATACGGCCATAATGAATCGTCAGACACCCTTACAAGGCAATGGCGGGGGAGCACTTAGCTTTTGCCAGGGAAGGGCATCCGCACGCGCCTGTGAGCCCCTGATTTTGCATGTGCAGCAACTTCGCGGCAGCACCCTCCAGGACAAGGGCAGCAAGCACATTGTTTGCTGTTGTTTGACAGAGTGACAGTTGTCATCTGTGTGAGGCTACGCCAAAAGCGCGGCACATGACCCACGCTCGCATGCATGCACAAAAAAAACAGCAAGCCCGCAGCGGCCCCTTGCACCTTGCAAGCAGTGTGGTGCGTACTTCAATGTGTGTGTGAGTGTGGGCGCGGGCAACCCACCATTCATGCGCATGTGCACACAAAATGGTTTGCAATCCATATGCAAATGTCCAGCAGTAGAGAGCTGATAGCGCAGAAAACCGCTTGTAAAAAGTCACAAGGGCAAGGTTTTTGCTGCTAGTGGATCCAGTCAATGCAAACCAGGTCGATGCAGGTGAGCGGTGGGCCCGTGCACGGATTGTGCGTTGCACAGCGCCGTCGGCCCCGTGCGAAGGGGTTCTTGACAAGGCGATCACGCCATGAGCAGGACCGCGGCGCCGGCGGCAGCCGCCAGGCCGGCGCTCAGTGCGGCGCTGCCGGCTGCAGACTTGGCAGGCGCCGCAGCCGAGCCGGACGAGGACGACGAGCCGGCCGTGGGGGAGTCGGAGATCGACGGGATGGCCTCCTGGACGGCGGGGAGGTCGTTGTTGAAGGCGCTGTAGGTCTTGCCGCCGGGGCCGCCACCGACGCAGCTGATCACCTCGAGCTCAGGGTTGATGATCAGGAGCTCGTCCTTGCAGCCCTCGGGGACGGCGGCGCTGAGGCAGTAGCCGGCGCGCTTGCCGGCCACTGCGCAGGCCAGGGGGGTGCCGGCCACGTTGATGCCCTTGCCGACGGTGCAGTCAGCACTGCCGGCGAACTGTATGTGTGAGCGGTGCAAGTGCGTTTCACAGGTGGTCAGGGAAGAATGTCACGCATGGTGTGTGGTGACAGATTCAACAACAGTTCCAAGTCCGTGCCTTTGGCATTGCTGCTTCTGTGCGCGGGGGGGGGGGGGAAGATCTAGTAGTGCCAGAACATGCTGCGCATACAGCCACCGTCTCGCGGGCAGCCATTTTTTTGTCAAGTAGTGTGCGGGGCGACTCGATTCACATGGTCTGCATCTGCATGTGTGTCTTGGAGTGCCAGGAAAAACACACATGCACCACACATCCGTCCTCAAAGCCCTGCATGCAACCCACATCCTCAAAGCCCCGCACAACGACGATGATGGACATGTTTCCTGCAGCGCCCTCACCCACCACAACAACCCCTCGACTGTATTTGGTTTGTATCACGGACAGGGGTGCCATGGGAGCAAGCAGGTGCCAGACATGGGCAGCTGAGTGCTCACCGAGACAGTGGTGACGTTGGGGCCTATGCAGTAGGGGGCGGCGGAGTCCTTGCCGGTCGCCTTGCAAACCTTGCCCGACACGGACACGGTGATGTTCCCAGGCTTGCCGCAGTTGTCAGGCACAAAGGTCAGGTCGGTGCCCTCCTCGGCGAGGGCGGCGGCGGGCACGTAGGCGGTGTAGGGCGAGGCAAATGTGGAGTTCGCCAGGCAGCGCGTGGAGACGGAGCCCGCAGCCTCGGGCTTGCAGGCTGCAGTCGCGGTCACGCCGGCGGGGCAGGCGGTCACAATGGAGGTGGTCGCGCTGATGGCGGCGCCGGAGCAGTTCGTGGACGTGTAGGTAATCTTGAGGACAGCCGCGGCACCGTGGCTGCCGCCCAGGCTGGTCAGCATCACGATCAGCGCCAGGGCAAGCTCCATGCGAGCCATGACTGCAGCGGGGAGCAGCAGGAGGAGCAGCAGGAGGAGCTTCTTCAGCCAATGCCACGAGAGACAGGGCGCGGGGAAGGGCACAGGGCCGTTGTCACCGATCCCGTTTGCGTGACCGGCCCCATCGACCAGCACAACCCCGATTGCACCGTGAGTTGAGTGTATTTTACGACGAAAGACGGGCGTAAACCCACCTGAGATAGAGGCTGCGCCTGTCGGCGGTGATCTGGTCAAGAACCGATCGGTGTGACGACGCACCCGCTGTTGTTAGAACAAACGCGAATTGTGATCGGCTGCAAACCACAAAGTAGCAAAAGGCTTCCACCCGAGCATCAATCACATGGGTAATGGGACCTTTATGGAATCTACGCGCACGGCGGGTGACTACCGACGGCTGGCATGATCGTCCCGCAGACGGGGACCGCATTGGGCGCTCTTTCGTTGTAAGACTTTCATTTTGCACTGAGCGAAGCAGGCAGTGCCACCGATCACAAGCGTGACGATGCGTTGGAGGCAACGGTGATGGTGCACGTGAGCAGGTCCGTCGCCGCAAGCACTACGAGACACGTGCGCTTACACTACAACATGACTAGAGAAGAGCAACAACTCTAAGTGATTAAGGTCATCATGTAAGTACCACTGGGTCACCCTCCTCGCACATGGGAGGTCCCAAAACGTGCAAGCGGGCCGCTGCGATGCGCCTGGCTGGCTGACGCCTGGCGACCCCCCAGATCTTTGCATATTAGCCAGCCACTAGCACCCCCACCACCGCGCATGGCTCATGACTGGAGGTGGAATCCCCGTTGCACAGCGTTAGGGGCAAGGTACCGCTGTGCGTCTCACAATCAAAAATCCAGATAAGAGCATTTTGCCATGGGCCATCTGCTTGTGGAGCATCAGCCCCTTTTCGCCCGCCTCCCGGCACAGCCGCGTCAGGCCGGGCCGCGCAGTTGGGATGACTGATGTGGATGGGCGAGCGGCCCGCTAGGCCCGAATCTGTACGGGACGCAACCACGGATTCGCAAGTGCACCGTTTGTGATCCCAGCGCCTGGGCTGCATCTGGCGGCCCCACAATACACCGGGCCAGGAACCTTCGCGCGCCCCACCAGCTCTGGATATTCACAGAGCAGCTGATACGGGAGGTTGTAAGTTGTGTTGCCGTCATGCAAGAGGTTGCAAGAGCACGAGCTGTCGAATTCAATGTGCATGCTCGTGCATGGCAGCCTCATACAAGGGTTTGAAATTCTGGGCATTTTCTGTTGCGCTCTCATGCTGTGAGGTAGCAGTAGGTCGGCAGGGCTGCCCCCCATGCATGGTTGGGGGAGAGTGGTGCGGTACATGCGCACACACCCGCTGCATCTGGCCCCGCCACCTCGTGTTTGCCCACCCCAGGCATTATGAAACTAAAGATACTTACTACGCTCACCGTTTTGGGTTCTCAACGCATGTGGCGGCGACTCCGGCAGCACAGCGAGTTCCAGCGTGAGTTTGGGACACCGGGTGACTGCAGCTGGCGGACCGTGCGGTCTTCTCCTGAAGACTATCACACAGTCGTCCTGATTTTACGTGGCACGGCACTCAGCGAGGCGGCAACCGTGGAACGCTGCATGGCCTGGACCGTGCCGAGCAGCAGCGGCGAGTCGGGCTCGCTCGAAGAATAATGCAGGTAAGACTGTCCTATGGCGTGCTGCTGCACTCTGGAGGATGCCGAGCAGACCTGCAGTCGGCGCCCCAAGAATGCAGCACTGCGTAAGATGGCCCATCTTCGCGCCCCGCTGTCATGCAGCACATCACATGCGATGCGGCATCTCAAGGCACATCATCATGCTGCACATGACAGGTTGCTGCATGACGGCATGACGCGGCTGTTGGCGCTCGTCATCGCGGCGGTGTTCGCTTGGGCCGCGCTCGCCGCTGCGGGCGTGCAGGCGCAGCAGCAACCGCCTGAGGTGGGCCCGCAGGGCCCGTGGCCTGTGCGCAGCCCTCAAGGACGATCTCTTGCTGCAAATCACAAGGGCATTGCATTGCGAACACCTAAGCCGGCGCGCTGCAAGCGCTGTCCAACAACATTGGCCCTTGAACCCAAGGTGGTTGGCCCCTGCAAGCACGGCCTTAGCCCCTTGTCGCAATCGCATGCCCCCTCCTTGGCCACTGCAGACTGAGTTTCAAGTTGTCACTAACCCTGCAAAGTTTGGACCTGCTTTCCCGGACGATGGGGTCGAGGGTGTGCTGCGGGTGAGAGAACGCCTTGGATGCGTCCAGCCAGCAGCGCAACCAGCTGCATGCGGCCGGCCATGGGGCTGGAGGGGTGGCGCACGCCGTGGGGCGACAGTGCGGCGCTCGGTCGCACCAGCTGGAGCCGTGGCAAGTGCAGCACGCCACAGGCGTGTGAGCAACGCCGCGCGGTACGGCAAAATGCTGACTCGCTACCGCCCCGCCGCAACCTTGCAAAATTGAGCGCTGCGCTGCAAACGCCACCCACATTCCATGCTTTCGCAGCTTGCCAGCCCGCCGAACGGGTGCGAGCCGTTTGCACCCCGCGACAGCAAGGCGCCCTGGATTGCGGTGATGACGCGCACGCGCGGTGGTCAAGGCTGCCGATACGACGACAAGGTGTGCGTGCGCCGCGGCTGACTGCATGCAGGGCCGCTGCGGCGGCGGGGGCGTCCTGCTTGCGGCGGGGGGTCGGTGCGCTGCAGGCGCGGTCCAGCAAACCTAAATTGCAGCGGACCCAATGACGGGGGTTGCGATTGAAGATATTCTGGGCATGAAAACGCGTTTGCTTGCACGTATGCTTGCGTGCATTTGCGTGCGTGTACTTGTGTGCACAAACGCACGCACGCGTGCACACACACACACACGCGCGCGCGCAAACATGCAGGTGCGCAACGCTCAGAAGGGGGGCGCCGTCGCAGCCATCATATACAACGACGGCCCCGAGGACGCGCTGCCCAGCATGGAGCTGCCCCCTGACTCCGAGGAGCCGGAGATCCCATCCGCGATCATAAGCATACGGGCAGCCAACGAGATCTTCGAGCTGATGAAGGCGCACCCTGGTGGCGGCGTGAAAGCTCGGATGAGGGGCAGGCGGGCGACGGTGTTTGTGCCCGGGGTGAGCGACAGCTCGGGGGACTGGCGGGCGGGGGCAGCGCAAACGGGGACAGAGGGGGGGGCTATTGTTTGGAGAAGCTCCGGCGTTGTCTTGTTTTGAGGTTGGGAGCTTGTGCATTGCGCGCGGCAGTGGTTCAGAAAGCAAAACAAGGCGCGGCTGTGCCCACGATTCTTGATGCTTCCGCCCTCACACCGTCCCGCTGCGCCGCGGCCCGCGCCGCAGGCCCCGTCCTGGCCGCCCCCGGGCCGGCTGGTCGTGCTCTCCGGGACCAGCGACCAGATCAGGTCAAAGTGGGACGCCACAATCGCGTCCATGAGCCCGGGAGATGTTTTGCAAATCTCTCCCCAGGGGGGCGCCCTCGAGGTCCCCCGGGCGCAGCCGCTTGTCGTGCCCATCGCCATCACCCTCACCGGCGCGCCGCCACCGGCCGATGGGGGCGAGGGCGCGGCGGGGCCGCCGGGGGCGCCGCGCGGCGCGGCAGTGATCAAGTGCGGGCCGGAGACGGAGGAGGCGCTGCACATCAAGTGGGTCGCTGCTGAGCTGGACAGGGTGGTGGTTTGCACTGGGCGGGGATGAGGGACCTGCAGGTCAGCAGCACCAAGGGGTCTATCACATGTATCTCCCCTCTGCGCACGACTAGCATGTGTGGGTCGTTGTCAGATAAATGCTTGATCTCGGTCTGAAACGTGCACACACACTCACACATGCATACACGCGCTTTCAGACACAAACACACACACACACACATGTATGCACTCATGCAGGGCTCCCGGGGCCGCGCTCCAGGACTTTCTCGTAACCGGCTGCGACGGCGGCGCCGCCGTCGTCCTCAAGCGCGCCGCCCCCGGCCCCGGCATGACGGGCGGCGCCGTCTACCCCATCGCGCACCCGGTCCGGGTCCGGCGCGTCACGTTTGCCGACTCGCGCACGACGGCGCTGCAAATGGAGGCCGGCACCGGCGCAACCATTACCAGATGCAGCTTCTTACGTAATGGTGACTACCGAGGGGAGCTGGACATCAGCTACCCGGCGCTGCTGGGTTACGAGGGCACCAACCTGGCGATAAATAGCAGCTACTTTGCCGGCAACCGCAACACCAGCCTGCACTTCCAGGGGGAGCTGCTTGAGGTGAAGGGCTGCAGGTTTGAGCACAACCTGCATTCGGCGATCGAGGTTGACTTCTTGCAGCCGCCTGGTGAGGGTCTGGGAGGACGATGCAGGGGTGCATGCGCCGAGGGAGGGGCTGTGCTGCGGTTGAGGTCAAACGGGGCGGCTGCCAGCAGCATGGTGGATGCTTGAGATGTTTGGGCGTCTGACACTTTACTTGAAGGCAGTGGCTCGTGACACATTGACAAGAGGCAGTGGCATGCGGGCTTTCAAAAGCATCATTTGTTGCTATCTGTCCAGCTAAAGCCCAGCTGGCTCACGAGCCCCAGCCATCCCTAACACAATCCCTGCGACCAACCCCACCACAACCAATGCGCCCACGCCGCCAACGCTCTGCCGCCGCTGCCACCCGTCCCGGCCGCAGTCGCTCTTTACAACCTGTACAAGGGCAACCCCACGCCGCCGCCGCTGTTCGGCACGGCCTGCATCGCCGGCTCCTCTTTCCGCAACAACTCAGCGCCCGACCACGCCGGCGGCGCGGTCTACGTCCGAAAGAGCGGCGTCGTCTCGATCGACCGCTGCAACTTCACCGAGAACTTTGCGGCCATGGGAGGCGCCGTGTTCGTCGAGGAGGGCGCGTGGCTGGCGCGGCTGACGGGCAGCCGGCTGGTCGGGAACGAGGCGCGCGCGTACGGCGGCGGCGCGTTCGTGTACGCGTCGGGCTGCCAGAAGCTGAGGGACGAGCTGGGGGCGGAGGACGTTTCCGATGACTGCTTCATCGTTTTCGACGGCCTGACCGCCATCAACAACACCGCCGCCGACGGCGGCGCGCTCTACCTCGAGCCGTCGCCGGACATGCGCGCGAACTTCACGGCGGGAGAGTTCACCGGGAACTCCGCGCACGGGCAGGCGCCCGCGGACGCGGCCGACGTGTGGCTGCGGGTGATGCAGGACCGTGACAGGCGGTCGTGCGTGGAGGACCGCGGGCGCACGCCTGCGGGGTGGGGGGGCGCGGTCTACCTCGGACTCAGCGGGTATGGCAGCTCGTTTTTTGAGGACGTCCAGTTCAGCGGCAACCGCGCGGCGCGCGGCGGCGGCGCCGCGCACGTCTGCAGCCTCTCGCCGAGCGCGGGCGCGTGGGCCGCGCTGGGGCTGAAGCGGGCGGAGCTGGACGGCAACTGGGCGGGGGAGGAGGACGGGAGCGTGCCGGCGGGGACGCAGGGCGGGGCGCTGCATGTGGCGGGGAACCACCTGGAGGTGACTGGGCTGCTCGGATCCCGTTGAAGGGGCACAATTGTCAGGCAGGAGTTTCGAGGGCAGCGGCATCGCGTGTGGGAAGTGCCTGGGAGGAGGGGTTTGCCATGCATCGGGCACGCGCTGCAGGAGCAGCTCGGTCAGTTAAGGTTTGACTCAAGCCTAAGGGTTACGCTACGGCCTTGCTGGTACGACGGTTAAGGAAGGAGGGCCTTTCCTTGAGAAGCAGGGCACCGACCTCTGTGCGCCGGCCCTCACAGCCGACCCTCCTCAACCCATACCCGCCCCACCCCTCCGGACGACAGACGGCCCTGGACCGGTCAAACTTCACCAGCAACCGCGCAGCGCGCGGCGGCGCCGTCAGCTGGTCGGTCAACCGCGGCGCGTTCGGCCTGGCCAGCTTGGAATTCATGGATAAGCTGAGGCGCGGAAAGGACGACGAATCTGACGCTGGGCTCAACGGCTGGCCGCTGCTGCGCTGGCCCGCCGTGTACCGCGGGCGCGCGGGCTACTCCCCGGCGCCCCGCAGCCGCTTCGAGCGCAACGCCGCGGAGCGCGGCGACGGCGGCGCGCTCGCGCTGGCGGGGACGGGCTCCGCGTTCCTGCTGCTGGGCGCGACGCTCGCCGACAACAACGCCGCGCTTGGTGGCGGCGCCGTCAGTTGCTTTTCGGATGGGGGGGAGCTGCTGATGGTCGCGTCAATGATCAACAACACGGCCGCCGCCGTCGGCGGCGGCGGCCTGCTCGCCGGCGGCGCCGGGCTCAACGCGACGCTCACAAAGACGCGCGTCACAGGCAACCGCGCCGCCGCGGCGGCGGGCGCTGCGGCCGGGGGCGGGTTCTGCTGCCGAGGCTGCGCCAGCGTGCGGCTCGAGGGCGCGGCGTTCATCCGCAACGTCGGCGCCGCGTTCGGCGGCGGCGCGGCGGTGCTGCGCGCGACGGGCGGCGCCGTCGTGGAGGGGTGCGAGTTTCGCCAGAACCTGGCAGCAACGTCCGGCGCCGCCCCGGCGGGCCGCCGGCGCGCTGCCCTGCGCCGCAGGGGCACCAGGCTGCTGCTGCAGGCCGCGCCGGCGGCGGCGCTCGGCGGCTTCGGCGACGCCGCCGGCAGCGGCGCGGCGCTGGTGTCACTGGGTGACGTGGTGGTCGACCCCGCCAACGTCACCGGTGACGACATGCTGTACCCCGGCGGCGGCGGGCTGTACGCGTCGGCGGCGGGCAGCGTGGTGCTGCGGGGCTCCAGTGTGGTGGATAATGAGGGCGCGAATGGCGGTGAGCAGCGTGAAAAGCGTGCGACGCGCGCCGGCCGGCAGCAACGAGCAGCACGCGTTGCTCGCCTCGACCCTGCTGTCACCGCAAGCAAGCGTCAGACATCCTGCATCACAACAAACCAGACTTACCAGATCGTCAAGTTTGGAATCTTCGTCCACAACACGCGGCCCTCCCGCCGCACTCGCTTCTTTCTGGCCCCCCGTCCCCAGGCGGCGTCATCGTCCGCACTGATATGTGCAACCAGACTGCCGCCGCCCTCATGAGCGGCAACGGCACGCCGCAGTGCTTTGTGCTGGGCGGCGGCAACGCGATCACGCGCAATAACGCCACTGAGGGCATAGGTGAGCTGACTGTGGCAAAAACAAGCTCCCAGGGCGGGGATTGAAGTAGAGCGCTTTGTCACCTGCGGCTCTAAGGGCAAGATTGAGTAGAGCGTTTTCTCACACGTGTGTGCAATGCTGCAAGATGTGCCCCGCCACCCTGCAAGCCAACCGGCGCCCGCTCCGCGACCCCGATTCTGGCCCTGCACCAACCAAACCCGCAGGCGGCGGCCTGCTCGTGACCAACGCGTCCCTGGCGTTTACCGCCTGCTCGTCCGACGCCTCCCCCCTCGGCGCCGCCGCCCTGGTGCCGCTCGGCGACTGCCTCGCAAAGTCCGCCAGTCCCGCGGCGGGCGGGGCGAAGGGCGGCGCGAGCGCGGCGTCTCTCGGGCTTCCGTACAATAACGTGGCCGAGGATGAGGACACCGATGATCTGGGCAGCATCGTGGCGAAGCTGGTGGTGTCCTGTGTGGAGCCCGCCGCGGCCTCGGCCGGGCCGGTGTGCGGCACCGGCGCGGCCGCGGGCGCGGCGGGGG